ATGGGGCTTAGCATCTACACTGTGTGAGAAACTCAGAAAGTGAAACACCAAACCCCACATTCCCCTCCATCCATAAATGAGCACATGGACTGAATACACACAGTCATTACTCTATGAAAACTGTTGAACATCCTTAGCCATCAAGGAGATGCTAATCAAAACTTCCCTCTCACCCCAGAATCGCCATCATTAAGAAAACAATAGCAACTGTTGGTGGGAGTGGGGGAGGGGACAGGAAACCTTACACACACTCCAAGTGGGACTGCAAACTGGTCCAACCACTGTGAACATCAGTATGAAGGAATCTCATAAACCTAAAACAAGAACTACCATATGACTCAGATCTAGCACTCCTGGGAATATACCCAAAGGAGGCCAAACCAGCCAATTTCCGACACCCTGCTTACCCGTGTTTCCTGGGGCAGACTTACCACAGCCAAGTTAGGGGATCAGCCTAGAGGCCCAATAACAGATGAGTAGGGTAAGACATGTGGTTTCATTCAGCCAGAAAGAGGACCAAAACCATGCCATTTGCAGTAAAAATAGATGGAATTGAAGGTTCTTGTATTAAGCAAAATGCAAAATAAGCCAGACTCAGAAAGACAGATAATAGAAGTCTTTCCTCCTCTGCAGAAGCGAGATTTAAATAGATATAAAGATAGAGGTAGTCATAGACAGATGCACAGTATCTAGACAAATATGACATGGAAACATTCTCTTTGAGAAGAGAAGGGATTAGCAGAAGAGGAGGCCAGAAGAGAGTAACAGAGGATTAATATATTCGAAGTATATGACATATACAGCTGAAAACATTATTATGAAACCCATGCCTTGAAATTAAATGTGTTCTATAAATGTTCTTTTAAATACTGTCATGATTTTATTATGGATCGCTGTACAAATGACCTTTCTTTCTGCACCTTAGTTTATTCTTATCTGTAACAGGGAAGATGGATGGGTTTCTGTATGGGAAACAGGCTGCAGTAGTTAAATTAGTTACTACAAGGCTCGTTCTTACGGCGTGAGCGCATGCGCACTGCAGTGAACTCAACTGTTGCCACTCTTCTCCCCGCACAGGCAATTCCTTTAAGCGTGGAAATAAGGGAGCAGGAGGTTTCCTTCTTACCAATAAGCTTAGTTTAGAGGCATTCAGATTTGATGCCCAGATAAAGATGTCAGATTGTACACACCTGTGTGTCCCTTCACTCCAGTCTAAGACCATTAAAATGATAGTTTGTTGTTATTGTTGTTGTTTGTTTGTTTGTTTTTGGGCTGGGGGGGTGGTTTGATTTTGTTTTCTCAAGACAAGAGAGTTTCTCTTCGCAGCCCTCACTGTCCTGGAACTTGCTCTGGAGACCAGGCTGACCTTCCTTGAACTCAGAAACCCACCAGCCTCTGCCTCCCGAGTGTTGGGATTAAAGGCAGGCACCACCATGTCAGGCCGTTTTGTTTTGTTTTTATTGAGACATGTTCTCATACAGTCAGTGCTGGCCTCAAGATGTACTGTGTGTCTTAGACTCCCTTCAAATTTCTGAAACCCCTGTATCTACCTCCTGAGTGCTGGAATTATAGGCATGCAACACCAGGAAGAGCTGGTTTTGTTTGTTTGTTTGAGACAAAGTATAAAACTCAATGTCAAAACAGCCTTCCTGTCTCTGCCTCCTGTGTGTGTGTGTGTGTGTGTGTGTGTGTGTGTGTGTGCGCGCGCGCGCGCGCGCGCGTGCGCTGGGGAGGGGGGAATTGCAGGCATGCTCCACCAAGCCTGCTTTTCTATTTGTTTAATCACCAAAGTGATTTCTCACACTATCCTGGAGTTTGCTGGATGGGTGAGACTGGATGGGTGAGCTCCAGGGACCCGCCTGTCCCCACCTCCCCATCACTCGGATTGTAAGCGCTCACTATCACCATGCCTGACTTTTTGATTTCAGTTCTAGAGACCAAATTCGGGTCCTTGTGCTTGTACAGCTAAAACTTTACTGACTGAGCCGTCTCCCCAGCCCTGTGCTCCTTTAGTTTTAATTGCTCTGCACAATGTTTGCCTATTCGTGACATCTGTCAGGAGGAACAGGCGGCAGAGCGTGACCAGGAGGCAAGGCCTGGAAACCTGTGGCACTGCGGGAGACATGGAGGTAGAACAGGGCCAGAAGGGAAGGCCTGGGGATCTGTTGCTCCTCTGTAGGAGACAGAGCCAGATCATAGTATTTGAAAATCACTTGGATCAAATCAAATGGGTGGTATAGCCCAAAGTAGTGATTACAGTTCTTTTAAAAGATGTATACATGATAATCTAGTAGTAGAAATAACACTGACTCATACAAACTCAATTAGAAAGGGACAAAAAAGGTAGAAGTAGGAAAAGAAATGAAGAACGGGTAGGAAGGCACGCAGTGCAGACATACATCAGGGAAAAGGTGGCAGCTTTATTAAGATCAGCAGAGGCCTCAGACAAGAAGTATTGCCACTGATAAAGAGGGCTATTACATTGTGATAAAGGGCTCCGCTCTCCAAGAAGACAAAGCAATGAATGATTTTATGTCTATAAATTCAACATCTTATCGCAAGTGGATAAATTTATTGAAAAACACATCTTAACAAAAGTAGAAGAGAAAACAGAAGAAGTCAAAGGGCCCTTGTCTAATCTCAAAATGGAATTCATGATTTAAAATCTTTCAATAAGGAAAACCCCAAATTCAAATAGATTTATTGGCTAGTTCTACCAAAGAGTTGAGTTTTTTCTTTCTCTCTCTCTTTCTCTCTCTCTCCCTCCCTCTCTCTGTCCCTCCCTCCCTCCCTCTCTCCCACCCTCCCTCCCTCCCTCTGTGTGTGTGCTATATGTGGGTGTGTATAAGGTTCACAGTGCCCTTGTGTACATGGGAGGCAGAGATCTGCTCCCCTGCTCTATCACTTCCCACCATACTCCTTGAGAAGTTACCCTCCTGTCTCTGCCCCCACACAAATGCTGTGGTTTCAGGCGTGCATGATCACACCTAGGTTTTTACTAGGGTTCTGAGGATTTGAACTCAGATCCTCATGTTTGGGCAGCAAGCACCCTTACTCTCCAGTCCCTGTAATTCTACCAAAGCTCTAAGGAAAGACAAACTCACATCTTCTGAACACTAAGAAAACTGTTGTTTGAGGCCAATCTCACTCATGAACATCGACGCAAAAATCCTCAACAAAATACTGGCAAACCATATCCAAGAACACATTAGAAAAATTATCCATTATAAAAAAAAAAAAACACGAAAATTGTTGTTTGAGAGTAGAGCGTCCCTGCAAGCAGAGTCTGATTGTGGCGAACCAGGTGCAGCCACATGCTTGCAAGATTATCTGGAGGCCAGAGCAAGAAAGCAAGAGGATTGATGGCGAGTTCCATGCTGGCTGGGGCAACAAACACAAAAGGAGTCTGATAAGATATTGCAAAGAAAGAGAAAAATATAGACTAGCATCTCACGTGAATGAAGATGCAAAGCCCTGAATACAACCGAATTGAATTAGAAATCCAAGATACTAGTCTGTGCAAAGGATAAATATCACTAATTGGAACTTAAACTGTGATTGATTATTTGTGCATTATAAATGAAATAGTGACCAGGCAGTGGTGGAGCACGCCTTTAATCTTAGCACTCCAGAGGCAGAGGCAGGTGGATCTCTGTGAGTTCGAGACCAGTCTGCTCTATAGAGTGAGTTCCAGGACAGCTAGGGCAACACAGAGAAACCCTGTGTGTGTGTGTGTATATATATATGTGTGTGTGTGTATATATATATATATATATATATATATCAAAGCCCAAACAAACAAAAAGAAAAGCCAGGATGTATCAGAGTAAATTATTGAACAGGACCTTAAAAGCAATGCTAGTGGATGCCCATACCCACCTGGGTAACTGTCATTAATAATATAATAATTAATATTAATTAATAATAATTAATAACTGTCATTATGAACATTATTAACTTGTCCATGTGGTAACACCCAAATTCTGGGATGAGTTGGATGGGGCTGGGCTTTATGACACTGGGTACCCAGGAAGATTTTCACTGTAAATTAACAAGTTCACTGCAAAACATATATACTATGATTAGACTCTGAAAGCCTCCAGGCCCTCACCATGGGATTACATTTTTAGAAGCTTGGTCTTGAGTTTGTGGTTCTGCGGAGCATTTTGAGGTGGCGCCGGACTATTAGAAGCAGGCCACTAAGGCACCCACTATGCCCAGCCTTTCAGTGTTATACCAGCCCAGTTCACGTGAAGAGCCACCACTACTAGCTCCCACCATCGTAGTTTAGGCTGTCCTGCTGTCTCTTTTAATTTAACCCGTGTCTATTCATCTACGTTTTGCCTTGGGGCTTTTTACATTTCTTTCATTCTGTGTGTCCTACTTTCCTGCTTCTTCCGTGTCTGTCTTTCTGGTTCTGTTGTCTCTTTTTCTTTTTCTTTTTTTTCCTTGAGCCTAAATTCCTTCTCCTACTTATTCTCCCTGCCCAGAAGTCTTGCCTATATGGCCTCTTTCACTATTGAACTCTCAGCTTTTTATTAGACCAATCAAGTGCCTTAGGCAGGCCAGGTAAACCAGCAACACATTTTTACATAGTTAAACAAAAACTCTACAACATAAATAAATGCGACATATCTTTACCCAGTTAAACAAGTATTCTGAAACATAAACAAATGAAACACATCTTTGCTTAGTTAACAGATATTCCATAACAAACTTCTGTTTGCAGTGCTAGATGGTATTCTGAGTCTGTTGAGAGAAGTAAAGTAACTTTGTAAAACTCTCCTATAGATTTCTGTTAAAACCCCTGCATTCCTTTACCCATGCCATGCTTTCTGTGCTGTTCAATTAATACAGAGGCACAACAGATAGACACAGAACACACAAGCACCCGGGACAGACAGATCAGATGCACTCAGCAGACAGATTATAGATAGACCAGTAACTACAGACAGACAAAGGCATAGGGAGAGAAGGAGAGAATTCAAATTTGGCCTCACCCTTTGTCAAGCTGATGCAGGAGGAAATTGCTTTGTTGTTGTTCCTTATTGAGACATCAGAATATTTTGGTGCCCTCTGAGGTTGTCTTTAATGGATTAACTGATGCTCCAGGGTCCTCTTCTGGGCATCTGGAAAGCAGGGATTATAGAGGACTATCAGGCCTACTGGGCTTTTATGTGCATTCTAGAGGCCCAAGCTCCAGTCCTTGTGCCTTCCAGACAAGTGTTTTATCCACAGAGCCTTCTCCACAACCCTTGAGGTCTATTTCTAACAAAGGACTTGCCATCTAAACTATATAGGGCCTCTTACAATCAGTAATAGGTTGATTCAATAACCCTAAAATGAGGACGCCGGAATGACAGTCAACAATTGAGTTGACACATAGGCAGTAATATTCTGCTGTGATAGGCTGACCACAGCTTGGCAGTTAGAAGAAACAAACTTGGTGAATCTCAAAGGCTTTGTTGGTGATGAGGAGAGAGAGACACACACACAGCTTAATGCTGCCATCCTCAACAGCCTGAGAACTTCCGCCAGACTCTTAGCGACCTGAGTTCAGGCCCAATCAGGACTCATGCCTTCAAAACTGAAAAGAATTTCAGGACTAACCAGTCTAGAATTAGAGTTGCAGAGTTTGTTGAAGACATTTTTTTAATATGGATTTAAGCACAAAGAAAGACAGCCATATCCAGGTGGGTATGGGCTCTTCAAGGGAGAGTTGCAATTAATGGTCTTAATTTCAACCATGGATGCTTTTTTGATGACTCTTAAGTTGCATATTGAAAGATTGCCAAGGAACCCCTCCCTCTCCTCCTCTCCCTCTCTCCCCCTCTCCCCCTCTCTCCATGCCTTTGTGTAAGATGATACCAGTGGCTCCAGAAAGGCCTTGAGTGGAATTGCAATTCTACACAGTAAAACCAGAAGCCACTGGGGTTGCACAAGGGTGTCTAGTACATGTCCTTTCCCCACACATGGGGGGTTCTGGTGAGATTCCTAGGAAATTGTAGGTTTACAGTGGGGAAGGGAGAAAGGCCTTAAGCAGTTGGGAATGATTCTGGCATTGTTCCCCTGCTGGTGACAGGCTTCAACCAGATTCAAGGATCTGATTCCCAGTTTCCCTTCACGTGTTCTCAAGACTTCCCTTGCCTTTCTACCCCACCTCAACGTAACTTTGGGTAAAAGACAACAGACACACAAGAGTACCTCCTCTAGGTCTCTGCACATGGGGCTTGTCGGAAAGAGTAATATGATGTAAATGACCGGGCTGGGGGGGGGGGGGCTTACCTGGGAGAGGCACAACCCAAGTCCTCCGAAGGGTGACTAAAATGGTAGAGAGGATGGTGCCATGTGTCCCCACTGCCTGCTCCCATATGTATATGCCCAGACAGCCTGCATTAAGTAGGCACAGTAACTAATGAGCAAGTATTCACAATAACAAAACAGAGGAACTGTGATAGCGTACTGTAATGACAGCCATTGTGTATTTCTAGAAAATTTAGCATCTTCAGACTATGCGTGACTGCCGGTGCCACAACAATGAAGAGGGAAGTTCTGCTGTGTTAAAACTCCCGGAGCTGCACACGCAAAACCTACGCAACCCTGTTCTATGTAAATTACGCTTTTGCTTTATTTTTTGAAAGAGTCAAAACATCTCGGTTGTAACAGAAAGAAGCAGATTATAATAACATGACCCAATTTCATCACCTTCAAAATAGTCGAAGTGATACTCCTTCCCCATGGTGGGTACTCAGACATGCACATGCAGACACACATACACACACATACATACACATGCACGCACGCATACATGCACACACACATCAAGAGGATCAGGAGGGAAATTGTGGAGGGTTTATTTTTCTTCATAAACTCAGAATTATTGAACACTTTAAAACCTATGCCTATATAACTGATAATAATAAAGACTGGAGAAATGGGGCGTGGGGCGTGTATGGGGGGGTGTCAGCTATAGTGTTGTGAGCTCCACCAGAGAAGCAATGGCTTTCATTTCCAAGAGGAAGTTACTGGTGGTGAGTGAGCAGCAGACCTCAGCCTGGGACTGTCCCCTTGCTGTGTTCTTGTCACAGCGGCACTCCTACCAGTCAGGCATAGAGGACAATGTGAGAAAATCCTGGAAAAGCAGGCATTCCGTAAGACAGGAGTGGAATTGTGACAGCAATGGCCTGTGTGCCCTAATTACAGAAGTCACACTTCCACTCACCCCCCCACCCCACCCCCGCTACAGATGCAAAACCAAATTCCACGTTGTCTAATTAACCAACACACAGACACACACACACACACACACACACACACACACACACGAAACTTTCCAGGAGAGGTAGGTGTGACTCAGCACAATCAAGGAGACCCCCCCTCCCCGCCCTTGCCAGTCCCCCCTCCCCCCAAGCTGTGCCGCCCTGCCAAGGGCTCCCAGGCACGCCATTTTGTTTTCACACATCTCTCCTTTCAGGGCTGGCTTGTAGTATTTACAGAGAAGCCAGCCCGGTAAACAGTTTCACACAATGAGGTGCGAGAGTTGATAGGGTCCTATTCAGCCCTGAACTCCCCTGATGAGCTGCCAAAAGTTGTTATGAATGGCCGGGCTGACAGGGTGATGGCTGATAGAGGAAAAACAAACAGCTCGGGCAATTCATGAAAACACCCAGCGCCAAGACAGATCCGGTGGCGAGTGACAGTTGAGATAATGGAATTCTGGAAGCATCTCTTAAGGGGTCCTCTCCACACAGTCATTCTGCTAATAGATTCCCCTTAATGTATCAGGAGCTTCAACTTACTTCTACCGAAATTATTTATGGTGATGTCTGGTGGGAAGAGCGGGCTCTGGACTTCTGTGCTGTGGCCAGTTCTCACTTTTTCCAGAGCAGCCAGAATCTTAGGAGATGGAGACCGCTGCCTGCCATTTAAAGAAATAAAATATCCTATTTGCAGTTTGATTACCAGATACATCTCTGAGGCATTCATCTCTCGTTTATAAACCATTTGCCGCAGACCTTTGATTAGAAAATAAATATTGGCTTACACACTCAACTGCTAATATTTAAAAAAGAGAACAGTCTTAAATGTGGTTGATGTCAATTTTCAAATTGCAGCCCATTTTGTGTTCATTTCCTTAAATCAGGCGTGGCGAAGCAAGAAAGTATCAATTTGTTGATGCTTTGCTTTTGTGCCCGATGGTTTTTCATGAAACGCATTGTGGTTTCTGTGAAAAAAAACAAAAAAAAAAAACAAAAAAAAAACAGACCATTTCTTGGTGTTTTGGGAAGCAGAAAAATAAAGACGTATATTGGACTGCATATACACGTATTTAAATCCTATCAGGTGAACCAAGAGAGGGGGAAGGGAGGAAAGAGAAGGAAGCAGGGGACAGCAAGCCTGGGGGCAATGGTCAAGGGGTGTTGTGTGTGTGTGTGTATAAGAGAGAGTGTATATGAGAGAGAGTGAATGTGTGTAAGTGTGTGAGAGTGTGTGTGAGTGTGTGTATAAGAGAGAGTATGTGTAAGAGAGACTCAGTGCGTATGTGAGAGTGAGTGTGTGAGAGAGTGTGTGTATAAGTCAGTGGATATGAGTGTGAGTGTGTGCGTGTGTGCGTGTGTACCTATGTGTACCTTGCCGTGTGTGTGTGTGTGTGTGTGTGTGTGTGTTGAAGGGCTGAGGCCAAACAGTTGTCGAAACATGCAGAACCTGGATCCTATCAGCTGCCACCCAAATCAAAACCCACATTTTAACGGGAACCCGGGTGATTGACACACACATCCAGCCTTTGAGAAGCTCCATAATTGACGTGGCTGCTTCTCTTCCAGTGTTTACGGTTGACAGTTGTGAAAGCTTGCAGCTTATCACGGTCCCTGTTTCACAAAGAGTTTGAAACGGTGTCACAAGTTAGTATTTCAAGCTTTTGCAAAGTCAATTATAATAAGTCTTCATTCAATCTTTTTAAAATAATTTTCTTCTCTTTCTCTTAAGGTGTCTTGAGCTTTCTGGGCCTCCTGGGAAGGTCCTCCTCTTCCTCGGCCAATTCCCTTTTACCCTGATCACCACATTCATCAACCCGTGGCACAATGCTAGGCCCCATGTCATCCTGGCATTTAAAACACAGAGCAGGTAATAATGATATGGTTTCCATAACAACCACAAAGACACTACGAAGTCCTGTCTTGACTATAGAATCAATTACTTAATTGTATGGAATTTTATTTGGTTTTGAGACAGGGACTCTTTACAGAGGCCTGGCTGACTTTGAACTCACAATCCTCTAGCCTATGTCCCTTGTGGGCTGGGACTTGTGGACTGCACCCCCACACTTCAGCTCAGGATCAACTATTTAACTATTACGTTGTGCAACTGAGTATCTTAAAGGAGAGCTCAAAGCCTCCTCGGAAGGCAGACAGCCAGGGAACCCTCACGCATGCACGGGGTGCAGTCAGAATCTACCATGAGAGACAGTGGCTTTAGACTTTGTGTTCGTTAATTTCTACAGAGTCTTTCTTAAACTTGAAGGAATCTGGAGATCTAATCCAGCTATCAACCAGTTTCTTAGGGACTGTCAAATTTAACCACATCTAAATTTCAAAGTTTATGGCCTAAAGCCAAAAGTTATCAGGGAAAACATCTGCGATTTATAGTTATTAGAAGGATCTGTCGCCTTACCTGAAAAGGGGTTGCTTGTTTGAGTGTGATTTTTTTTTATTGCATATATTCATTGTGCAACACAGTGATGATTTCCTTACAGGAGCTTTATGTATGTATATAATGTTCTTCAATCATATCCACCCCCACGTTATCCTCCAGTCCCCTTACCCCACTTATTCTGTCCCCAGATAGGGTCCCTCCTATTTGAACAAGTCCTGCCCTCCTCTTCTTCCTTTCCCTCCTCCTCTGTACTCTGCATGAGAGAAAGCACACTATATTTCTCTTTCCTGGTCTTCCTTCGCATGCTGATCTCCAGTTCCACAAACGGTATGATGGTCTTCTTCTTTATTCCGACTCAAACCCCACCGTGCACAGACCCTGCTTTTCTGTGTCCTCTCATCTCCTTCTGGGCATCGAGACTGATTTCACAATTGTCTGCCTTCGGCTAGTGCAGGGTGTGCCAGGGTACCCCGCTCCTGCTGCACACCCTGGAGTGGTACAGCTGGGTCATATGACAACTCTAGCTTTAGTTGTGACAACCTTCACATTGCTTTCCAGAATGGCCATACTAATTGACTGTTTCCCTAACAGATTCCACAGTATCCCTATCCTTGCCAGCATTGTTATCTTAACAGTTGAGTTTATATACGTAATTCATTCAGGAAAAGGCAGGTCCAATGGGAAAAAGGACACTTTGCATACAGAAACAAAGAAGACAAACCGAAAATGAATACATGAAATGGTGCTCAAATTCATTCATAAAGATGACGCACCAAAGCAAACATGGCAGAATATCTTAAGGCTGGCATTTCATCACAAATGATGAGACAATATCAGCTGCAGGCAGAAACAGGCTCTCTCCTCCTCGCTGCTGGAACTGGGCTGCTCTCAGCACGCGGAAGGCCGGATGGTCACTTCTATCAGAACAGAGGATGTGCCCCGCTCTTTACCTCAACAGTCCCACGCTGGGAATTTAATCCAGGAAAACACTTGCAAAAGTGACCAGAGAGGAGCAGGGCTGTAAGAAGCAACAAGTCAAGAGCTGAGCAGCCTATGATGCGGCAACCCAATGAAGGGGAGCGGTCTCTGCCAATGTAGATCCAACCACCCTGTGTGCTTGGCCTGGCTGCTCTGTTTATTACACATACAAAGCAGTAAAGCAGAGACAACTTGCTCCCTTTAGATTAAAAATGCATACCGACCAGTAGGTGATGGACACATTTTTCCAGAAAATGCTTCAAAAGAACCGGCTGATATTGCTCCCTTTGTGATGAGGGAATAGCTTGGCAGTGAAGGGTAGGAGAAGATGGTCTTATTTTTAATGTTTACTCTACCTTTTCCGTTTTCTAGAAGTGTATATGTGACAGAGGCCAGCAATGTCTTGGCACTGAGCTCTTGAGCCGTGTTGTCTTCAATCCCAGCTATAATAATATTAGGAGAAACTCTCTAGAGAGAATTTATTTCCCTCCCCAGTGTTCATCTTCATCACTGAATCCCTTCCAGCAAGGAGACTTCCCACAGAGCAGCAGACATCCTGGAGAACTTTCTCCAGGGGGCACTCAGATTGAGGCAAGAGAATCACAGATTCCTGGTCAGTCTGAGGTACAATAACATAATTTAAGAGAGAGAGTGAAAGACAGAGAAACACAGAGACAATGTATAGATAGGGTGCTTCCTCTAACGCAGGGTTCTCCACCTGGTGAATTCCCTGCTCAGAAAATGGTCCAGCCTGTGTATGTGGACAGGGACATAAAACAAACCATCTGGTTTTTTTTTTTTTTTGGAAAAAGAAGAGTGGGTCACGGGTCACCAATCACCATGGTCCCAGAAGTGAGTACTTTTGTTTTCCGTTGCACTGCAGGAGGGTTTCTGTTTGTTTGTTTGTCTACTTGTTTGTGTTTGGTTTTGTTTTTCAGAAGTGGGTAGTGGGGAAAATCTTGAATGAGGATTGAACATCATCTGACTATTCATTAATCTACCCTCCACCCGTGTATGACTGGTAAGGAGAGAGAAATCAAAGAAAATTCCAGTGGGATATGCCTGCCAGGACTCTTTAGGGACTTGTAGCACTGTGGGCTTCAGAGCTTCTCCATGTCCTAGCAAAGAGGTAAGAGAAGCAAAGATAAAGGCGGTTTTGCAGTTAGAGATTGAGATGCAAGTTCCAGACCAGTGTGTCTTTGAAATCGTGGCCAGGAGACTTCTCTCTGAACCCCATTACATGGCCAGGATAGGCAAGGCTCTGCTCTAGTTCTAAGCAACTTTCTGGTTGTCAGTGGTTATATGCAATACAGGTTTAATCAACTCACATGAAGTCCCTTGTGGATGGCCGTGTACTAGGTGGCCATCCTCCCTGGGGGGGGGGGGGGTTATTTACTGACCAGAACTAACCATGTGGTCCCCAGCTATGTATTCCCACATAAGGGTGTCAGAGAATGAAATTGTCTTGTGAACCGCTGAAAACAAAAGCAAAAGGAACCTGTGCAACAAAACTGGGCTATTGTTGCCACATTTAATATCCTCATCTGCAAAGTGAGGTGATGCCCACCCTACAGTGTACTAGGAGATTGACATAAGGATTCATGAAAGAGGGGCGTAATATACAGTAGACACTCAAGAAGCAGTTATTCTCACTGACACCACTGACTCTCTCCCGGAGAGAACCCTGAAGTTACTCAGTTCGCAGTCCACAGGCCTGGGTGCCTCATCAATACCCCAAACCCCAGAGGCTTCTTGAAGAACTGCTGGTCCTCCATCGGGGCTGGAAGCCTGGGAATGATGTTTCTAATACCAGTAAAGAATCAGCAGCAGCAAGGACAGACAAGATAAGATAATGGAGAGAAGGCCAGGCTAGCAACGGGCAGATTTTCTTCCTTCGGCCATGCCCCTTCAAACAAAACAATCAGAACAAAACAGAAAGGAACAGGCTGCTACCGGAAGCTGCCACCCACATTTTCAGGGTAAGACTTCCCACATCAATTAAGGCAGTTAAAAACATTCCTAAGTGTGGCTCCCTGCTCAGGTGATTCTAATTTGTGGCACAGCCATCATAAGGGGCTTGTTAAATGTGCCCTGGGCTGCAGACACCCAGTGGTGTTGTTAGTGTGCCTGTCAGCATGCCTATGGCCATAGTGGCTCTCCATCATGTGAGACAAGACACGCAGGAGAGCCTCTGGGTGTCACTGGACACTGGGACTCAAGGCAGAAGGGCCTGATCACCTGTCCCCAGCCATCACGTGAATGAAGGCCTGTCCTAACACTTGCCTGGATGCTCACCAGCGGTCAAGGAAAGCCAGCAAATTCCAATGCTCCACACTTAGAGGAACTCAACCATTTGACGGCGGTCATAACAGAAGTGTCTGCTAGTTTCTTCTTTCTGCTGCGTTTCTGTAAGGGGATTGATCCGCAGAACTGCCACCTGGTGGCGTTGCTTTACCCTTAGGTTGGACCATAAGCTGGTGTGTGGACTGGGAGAGTCGGTGGGACATGTAAATAGGCTATGATTAAATTTTAACTCCTGACTCAGAGATGAGAGGCAGATAATTGAAGGTTGGGAACATAGCTCAGGAGAAGAGAGTCTGTCTACTGCATCCAGAGCCATGGGTTCAATCCCCAGCATAGCCAATAAAGAAACAGAATCTACCAGGATGCGTGGGAATTTAAGCTATTCCACCCACACTTGGCTTCTCCCCACCATTTCCATACTTGGCTTAAGCTGTCCACACAACATTCCCTGACTCTCCCATCCTGTTATCCAATCAAACTCTCAGTAGGCCACCAGGCCCTACCTAGGATCTGTAGCCCTAGAAATTACAATGTCTTCAAAGTACCAGGAAGTAAAAAAGTTGTTAAAGTTCATATCTTCCAGTCAGAGCCCCATGAATAAGAATAGTTCATCCTTCCATGCCTTTATAAAAGTTCTGGGGTTTGTTTAGGTTTTTTTCGTTGTAGCTGCTGTTGTTTTTTTGTTTTTTGTGTGTTTGTTTTTGTGACAGGATTTCTCTTTGTAGCCCTGGCTGGCCTCAAATTCACAAAAATCCACCTGCCCCTGCTTCCTAAGTGCTGGGATTAAGGTGTATACTTTCATGCCCGGCCTGAAAGTTCTGTATTTTCTATCGGGGTCTACTAAAAGTAAATTGTGATTAAAAAAATATATAAAGTTGACCCACTGGTCTTCATCAAAATAATTTATTGGTTAGATCATTTATTTTTGTTGGCATATAAAAAACAATAGAAATATTCAGACATACAAATCAGACAGTCCACTAGCTAACTACAGATGACGAAGCATCTTTAATTGCTCCTTGTTCATCTGATTTGCCTTCAGTTTGTTCTTAGAAACAGCAGATGGGCTCACAGAAGCTGTGAAAGCATGCACACACCTGCATAGGTTCAAGCAGGGGTCCCAGTCGTGGGGGGTGGACAGGTTCCCATCGCTAACCGAGACGCTATTTTCAAGTGCTAGTCTAGGGCAAAGGAGGAACCAGTCTCCTCCACTCAGGTCTCACTGGGTACCTTAGCCATGCCTCAGGGCTGGTGCCCAGGAGCAGTTGGCCAACACAAAATGAACTCAATGCGATTTTTGTAGACTTTTTGACTAATTTTGCTTGCACATACATGTTTTTGTCTTCACAGTCTCTTGATTGTTTCTTT